AGTGTGTCTATGAACAAATAAGAACCACTGAGTCAATCTTGAAAGGATAAAAATCAATAAACTACTGACACAATTCAAGCCAATAAATTCTAGGGTTCTGCTCTGAAAAGAATGTAGATGTTGAGAAATTGACAGTAATATGAGCACAAAGAACCCAAAGATCACAATCCAACCCCAGGAGAGACAGGATGCTAATGAGGGGTGTTTGATGGAAAGCCTAGTGGACAACGGTCAGTGGCTTAGCATGGTCATCTTTCTTCAGTTATTGTTCATCCAGGTACACTGTAATAGGATGCAATTCATATGCATATAGGTCACTTTAGAATGGGAAAAAAATCAGAAACCCACAGGCAGATAGATATCCATGGACAGGCTCCAGAACCAAGTAACAAAGGAAAAAGGATCCAGTATATTAGCACTCAGCCCAGACTCTAAACACTGCAACAATCACTGATTCCAACTCTTTTCTTCCACCACAACTGCCACTGGTCTAAGTCACCTAACATGGCTAATGGGGAAGAATATCCTAGACTTGTTTATTAATACAGAAGTTCTACATCTAGTCTTCACAGTGGCACAGCTATTATTTAACTCAGTTTTTCTCTCATATGCAATTATGGACATTATCAATTGCAGTCATTCACTCACACAGAAATATGGTTGTTTTGGAATTGTCTGTATATGTTTGTAATCCTATGTCCATTTTCACCTTTTAGGATTGTCCATAATTTTAGAGATAATGAGTGAATACAAGACAATTGTTCTTCACAAGAATTAGAGGATGTGGATGTGGATGACTACCAGTTTAGGAAAATCAAGTCCTTACTAAGACAAGAACTAAAGCTAACAAAAAAGATGCAAGATGACTATGACAAAATTCAGTTGTCTGACCTGATGGAGGACAAATTCCCAGAAGATGCTGGCTTGGAAAAACTGACAGAAGTGTGTCAAAGAATTAAAGAACTTGAAAACCTTGCTAAAAAACTTGAAACAGAGAGAGCAAAAGGTAACATGGGAGCACCTTGGACACTCATCCCTTTTCTTCCCTCCCTAAAAGTTCTGGCTCCCTGCAGCGATCAGAGCTGATGTGTCGCTTTACCACTGTGTGCCTTAGACATTATGGGGGTTGAAGCATTTCAGATGTCAACAAGTTGATTTCAAGAAACCCTTTCTCACAAAGAAATTTGATATATTTCAGGGTAAACTTCTTTTACATTGGAGGTAAATAAAATAAAAAGCAGTTTTTAAGATAGATTAGAATACCCAACATGGTAACAAAACCATAAAGTGATAAAGTGAACAATGAAAAAATCACTTAAAGCATATAAATAGAGTACATTTAATACTCAATTAACAATCTGACCCATTCATTAATATTTTTTCTGCTAACAAATATTATTTAATACTTAAGTACAAGTCTGCATATTTATGATATGAAGAAGCTTCTCTTTATAAAGTCACTAAATTTAAAAAGTATTAGATATACAGGTACACAACTCTGACCCCAGCATTTAACATAATGAAGCTCTGAAACTGCATTTTACATTACACAAGTTTATATCAGATTTCCTTTCATTGCTTTCTATGATTTGAGAGTATTATACATAAAACATTACTAGTCAGTGTGATAACAATTTGGATTTTTCAGAGAATGGGAATGAGAAAAGCTTAGCTGATGAACATGGGTTCAAAGACAGGAAGCGTTTTCTCATTTTAGAGGGGACAAGTAAAAAAAAAAACATCAAGTAGTGGAGACTGTGTCTAAGGCTGTGCCTTTAGTGGTGTGCCCCCACAGTAAACTAATAGAATAAACATAGTTATGAATGCAATGGAGAGAAAATGGCAGGAAAACTAGATGGTTCCAAGTCCTCTGTGTTGGTTTATTGGGCTCTTTTGTTGATGCATTTGTTGTGATGAAAATTATACCCATTCTAGTAAAAGGAAAATCCCCACTGAGAAAAAGGAAGTAAGAAGCAGGCTCTGATACACCCACATCAACTACCAGCAACACAGTAGCATCTGATGGAGGGGAGACATCCACAGCTCAGGTGAGTTTGAGGAACAGCAGCAGGCTGGCCATCCACAGAGGGGTCAGCAGTGGCTCTTCCCTACTCTGTCCATCAAGGACTCATTGCTTTATTAGTTTATCGTCAAGCTTTACTGAAACTCATGGTAAGTGGCCATGCAGCACTCTCCTACCAGAGAATTGTGAACTTTAAAATTGGGTAGAACAATGGTGTTCATGTTTACACAAACCAACTTTTCAAATTCAAATTCAACTATGTCCTACCAGAGAGGTAATGTCAGAAAAATTATGTATATAACACTTTCCTTTCTCTTTGTTTAATGAAACAACTTATGCACACATTTTATGACTATTTATGATCATATCTTAGGCCTGGGAAAAGGTGAGTGTTATTTCTTCAAGTTTCCAACATATTCAGACATAATAAATCCACTACCTAATAATGAAGATACATTCTGTTCACTTGGTACTGAGACTCATTAACAGGCCAATGGATATACTTTCAGAAAAGAAAAAGTATTAATAGAGAAAAGACTGGAGTGAAAAAGACCAAGCAGTCTGAGGGGCCAGATCACTCTCCCTGTCCTGAGGAAGCCACAGCCAGATGCCAGTCCCCAGAGCTGCAGACCTCATCTTTGGCTTCATTCAACACTTCTTTGGCTAAGGTACAGGTTTTCTGTCTCACTTTTATTTCTTCAATTCAAACATCAGAATCGGATCTTGACGTTCTGACCATATCATGCACTTGCCACTGATATTTAATTAATTAGGAAAAACACAGAGACTAGATATGTTAGAAGTCAATCTCCATACAAAGGCAGAAACATATAAAGACAGGTGATACAAATATAGAATTTGCTGTACCGTAACCTTTTGTTGCTATGAAGACACTGAATGAATTTGGCATTTCTTTTGACAATGAGGAGTTTCCTGGCTTGTGTTGATCCCACGTAGGAAGGGAGAGGTGATGAGTCCAGCATATGCAAGTGTCATAGCAATGAGTACTGTTTCCATAAGTTAGAACCTCTATCAGTCACTGCTAAAGGAGCTAAGAGCCTAAGACTAGGTAGCCATGGGCCTGGGAGAAACCTACTACTATTATTCTGCTGAAGGAACATAGCAATAGCATATGACATACTGTTATATCCATAGAGCAGTGCCTCATTCACCTCTCATCACAGAAGCTTCTTCTTGTCATAGTTGGGAATTAACACAGAGAACCACAACAGGCCATTGTGCAGACAGTGAGAGATTTACAGTATCCATTCCTCAATGGGTTTTCTTCATCAACTCCCTCTTCTCACGGCTCAGGGATTTATGTGGAAGGAGAGGATGAAAGATTGTTAGAGCCAGAGATGGTACATGACTTCAAGGAAACAGTGTCTTTCAAACAGGACTGATGCACATATGAACTCATACACTGGAGGCAAACATTTAAATAGCACAGGTTCAAGCCACCTGGGGTCCCAGAACTGAGAGGAGGAAGTGGACATACAGTCCTACTCCTAACCAAGAAGCTATTTTCAGTTGATACTCACTAGCAAAGGGCTTCTCCAAAGGAGACTATCTACCACATTCGAGAATAGTGCCCATGGCTGGGAATAGTTGGCCAATATAAAAAGAGCTCCATGAGATTTTTTTTTGAGGGGGGCGAGGTATTTTGTTCTACTTGGAATTTTTTTCTGATTTTACTTTTTATGTTTTTATTTTATTTTTTGAGAATGAGAGGAAGAACATGAAGTTAAATGGGAAGAGGAGAAGATCTGGGAGAGTTGGGGGAGATGAATTATAATCAATACCTAATGTATAAAAATTAAATAAAAATAATAGAAAAATAAAAATTCTTGGAGAGAAGAAAAATGTAATGAGGGAAATTAAAAAGAAATGGAAATATAGGAAAATATGATGTTCACCAGAAACTGGGAGTGGAAAGAAGTGAGCTACAATCTATTATGCCATGTATAAGTTTTTCAGGTCAGGATACTTTCATTTGGTCTTGTCAAATATTCCTTCAGTATCAAGTATCAATCAATATTAATGTAATAACACATGAAAAATAGGATGATTGATGCCTCTTAGTTTTTCTGAGTTCTCATTGAAGGAAACAAATGATTTGTCACAAAGGGAAGACTACAACATTATCAGCATCCAATCTCTGGTCTCTCCCTTTCCTCTCTCTATCCCTCCTTCTTCACCTCTACCCCTTTTTTTTCTCACTCGAGGAAATATAATCAGACAATTAAGCAATAACAGAAGAAAGTTTATTCACCTCAAACCTTACCATTCAGATAATTTAAAGGGTTTGCTTTGTACTTCTCAGATACTTTTATAATTATGTGGAAAATTTTTCTAGTGTAACATCTCAAAATAGTTATTTATTATTTGCTTTTCAAATTTAACATATCAGGGCTATCTTTCCAAGTTTCTAAGTTAAAATTCATAACATATTCAATGGTTACATCAGTGTTTCTGTTCCTTTTTTAAGTAATTCATTTTAGATTGCTTATCTACTACTACAAACTCTGTACCACTTTCAGTGATTATCTTTGAAATGTGTGCATTAAGGATCATTTGGTGGCCTTCTAAAAACCCACTAATTTATTTTATGCATATCCTATAACTTTATTGATAATTTAAATCTAGTCATTGCTACTTGTTTACTTATATACCCATGACTAACACTAATTATATTCCTTTTTTATTTTCATTTTATACTAATTGGTTACACTGATAACAAAACAGATCCAAATTAAATCTAATCAGTCATAGGTGATAATTGTTTGTTACATGATAGCTTGGATTATTTTCATTCCCTTGGGCCTGTGAAACAATAACACTATCTCCTATTCTTCTATGAAGTTTATAGATTTTCATTGTTTTGCATACTCTGTCTTATAGTAAGGCAATCTTCTCTTCAGTGAAATACTCTGTTAAAACCCACTGAACTCAGAACACTATGCAGAAAGCAGATTAGATGCCTGATAATATTTCTCTGGATTTGCAAATTTTTGCCCTTCAGGAAAACTCTCTATCCATGTATAAGGACATAGGTCCAACCAAAGTACCACTTGTGAGCCTATTTAAAAGTGATGACTGTGGGCCAGCTCATGTAGTTTTTGATCATTTAATTATAGCAGATTGGTTTCTCCTTAAAAGATATATTATAATTTGTTCCCTCAGAATAACCCCAGGTAGTTCTGTATTAACTAAAGTCCTATGTCATCTTTATGGTTTGTATTTAACATTCTGTATTTTTAACAGTATTTAAATTTCCCCTTTTATATTCTTTGGTCATAGAGCAAAGGATATATTAGAATTCATTATAATTTCACTTAAGTACATCATAAAATTGATCTCAAATCTTGTGCTGTGTTCATGCTGAATATCTTGCTTAGAAATATTCCTCTGATTTTCAGTGAGTGTTCAAACTTTGGTTGCTGAAGCCCATTGCTTCCATTCATTAGCCTTTTGGTTAATGAAATAATTCCTCTTTAGTTTATCCACACTTCTACAAATACATCAAAATTGTTAGGACTTATGTGGAGATTGTGATTTATCTTATGTAAAGGTTAATTTGTATTTACTGATAAACTTATATATTTATTCCTGTGTTTGTTCAACCAAAAAAACACAGACCCAAATTCAGAGTATTGCCAGAGGTGCTGTTCTCCAAAAGGATGCCGTGACAGTGATGGTGCTCAATGCAATAGACCCATTTGTATACACGCCATCAGAACACGGAGTAAAAGAAATGTTTCATGCTACAGTTACATGCTACAGTGGCTACTGTGAATGAGTATTTCCATGTGAAAGTTTTCAACATCAACCTGAAAGAGAAGTTCACAAAAAAGAATGTCATAATAATCTCCAATTACTTCAAGTTCAAAGGAATCCTAGAGATAAATGAGGCTTCCTCTGTGTTTGAAGCTGGTCCTGACCAGAAGATTGAAGTCTTCAACAGTCTTATCAGAAAAGCAAGTAAACCTCCCCAGATTTCTGATTTTCACAAGTATGGCCCTGGAGCAGTGATTTATGGGTTGTTTACATTACATAAGGTAATGCCTGAAAATTTGTTTTTGTCTTTTTCTCCACCAATACCTGAACTCAAATATGATAACTTTCCAATCGCTATAATAATATTGTAACGGAAGTCTTTAACATGGCTGGGGTTAACAGGTGAAATCACTCCATATACTAAGGAATAAGAGTGGGTGACATACTAACAACCTACTTCCTAAGATATCTCTTAAAGAGTTCCCTGAAAATGAATTACCAAGGTTCTTTATTTTACTAGTTACAAAATACCTACCCTCAGCCACAGTGAGCAGGAATGGTGTAGGACATAGTTCACTGCCATGCCAACTGTCTCAGTTATTTTAAAGTCCACTGCAACTATACAATACTCAATCTTTTCTTTCTATACACTTTGTTTCTATAGATGGACTGAATCAGGGTGATTATTGATTGTGACAGGTATTTGGAATCATACATGATTGGCTGGCATCCTTCTAAATAAAAAAACTACTCAATAGAATGAATCATCTATCTCTATAGATAGTAGGTTTAATCATTCAATGTTGACTCTTATCTTAATTAACTATTTCTGAAGACCATAGCAATTGAGAACTATTGTATGAAGTGACATTTGAGAGGCAAATGAACCTAGTTTTCTCATTTGCAGAAGAAAATATACACAGACTTCTCATTGATGCATCAATGGCCAAAATCAGGGTCTTAGGATTCAGTATTTAAAATTGACAAACTTGGGCAACTCAGCAATTTTTTTGTAAACTTGGCAACTTTAAGTCTGTTTAGTCCATCCTCTTTTAAAAAGACCCTGCAGTTAAAACCCATACTTTAAGGCACATTCTTTAGACTATGCTTATGAACACAATTGAAAAGTTGAAGAGCAACAGCTTGAGAGAAACTCAATACAATATGAACTGGGGACATTGACTTACTTGGACATGATAATGGAAAGAGGTAAGCAAATGGAAAGGGTCTAAATGAATAAATTACTGGAATCTTAATTGTTCTGTAGATTTTTAGCCTATTTAATGAATGAACATTGGGAGCAAATGGCCATTCATGCCTTTATAAGCAGAAGATATAAAGATGGTTGTCCAAAGTTCTGAGTCCTGAGATTAACCAGGGTGGTTTATGGAATCAAGATTGGTAGGGAATAGAATAGGGTGTAGTGAAAAACAGGAAGAACATTTATTGTCCTAACATTTTCAGGCACAAATCTTCTAGATAACAAAAGTAAATCACTGCAGTAATAAAAGAAAATTCTTTGGGAAGACTTCAGTAAAGATACCTATATGCCTATTTCTGAAACAGATTTCATATTTTCCTGTGATTTTTGTCACAAAATGTCTTTTTTTGATTTTATAACAATGTCTCTGAATGTGCTAACTTTCAGAAAATGAATGTTAATTTTATTTTGCAGAAAAAAGTGAACCCAAAGAACACAATCTATGAAATAAAGGATGATGATAAAAATAATATAGAAGTTCTAGGGAATGGAAAATGGTATAATATCAACTGTGAGGAAGGAGATAAATTTCGACTCTTCTGCTTTCAACTGAAAACAATTGACAAGCAACTGAAGTTGGTGTGTGGTGATCACAGTTTCATTAAGGTAAGAAGTAGACTGGGAATGGAGTTGTCAAAGTGGAAATTGATGCTTTCTTTAGGATTCTGAATATTGACTTTTCAGTGTATTACATAGATACTTCTATCTCTGGAGGAGAGAATGGAGATGATGCACTTATACTCCTTTCTATGGGGAATATTTTTAAAACATGGATATTGAAGAATTAATCCAAAGATTCTTATGTATATTCTAAATAACCAGAAGTATGAAGAAGTTAGAATGACATGGAAATACATTTGAATAGAGATCAAGAGCAAGGGTTGTTAATAAGTCAGATGTGATTTGAATGACAGTCACAACCATTAAGAGTTGGCTAATTCTGGCGAAATCTAAACTCTTAATCTGAATTTTAAGGGAAGAAATACCTATATATTTAGGAGTTATCAGAGTGTTTAGCACATCATAAAAAATGAGTGGGTATTACCTTCTTAACTGGGTGAAGACACTAGAGAGATAGAGATATCTAAGAAATAGAAATGACATGAACACTGAAGAGGAATCAACACTATTAAATCTAAACATATGCAAGATGACAACTCTGAGAAAAGTATACCAAATGGCTGTTTAAATGATCAGATAAATGTAGCATTGTCAGAAATAAGGAGATAAGGAACATTCATGGTGGATAAGGTAAATACAGAAAGGTTTATGAGGATGAATGCTTGATCACTTTGACACAGTAGTAAAAAGTATTTTGTCTTGAAAATTTGTGTTGCACAGAAACTTGACTTGGAGGCAGAAATATTAGTTAGACACAACTATGTGCTATTATACACTTTCATATTAAGTATTTGCATTAAATATTGAGGAACTTTGTAAGCTGCTTATGAAATCTTTGGCAGTTTGAATATCACCATAGACTTATGCCACTAAAACATGCAAAGGCTATGGAGCATGACTTTAAAAACTAGGCAGCTACTTTATCAAGACAAAACAGAAGCTATTTCATAATTGTACTAAGCAGGGAAAAGATAAATGGGGCTTTGAGTCCTGGAGATGACTAATGTTTAAGAAGAAAGACCTTCATTATTTTACAACCAGCATGGTAATGATGGTGAGAGAGAAAATGGGTTCAAAGAACATCCAAATGTGATTCAGAGATAACATTAAGAAACAGGATAAATGGTGCTGATACTAACACTAAGAACAAAGAACACCACCTAAGGGGTGGAAGGATACTCAGATTGATGTTGATGTTGAACCCCCTTTAGTAAATTCACAGTTATACTAATAGAGAACACCTGCCAAATACTTACTATGAGCTGGGACTTTAAGTAGCAAAAGAGAGATACTAATAATTTCCATTTTGTAGATGATCAGAAATAGTCACTGACAAAGATAGCAAGTGGTGGAACTGAATTCTACCTATGCTACCTGGCACTGAATGCAGATTCTTAGGCATGATGAGTATGTGGATCAGTGATGGCAGTTATGGATCACAGGACAGAAAATGGAAAGCCAGTGGTAAACACTACTACAAATTAAGACAAACAAACGGAGAGGTCAAGATAAAATGAAAGCTAGAGGAAACATAGATAGAGAAAATTTATAGAGGAATAGGATCAACATAGTTCATGCCAGACAAAAATGAGCAGGGGTCTATCTTGTAATAACTCTATTAAAGCCTTAGAGATGGTTTAAACAGAAGGTATACTCCAGATACCGTAGTCAAAATATAATTGCTGCTACATTCTAACACAGGGATATACACATTAGTTGTTCCATTTTCAAGAATACAAGAATCCGTGAGGTTCAACTATATCTGATAACCCAGAGCAGTAGTACTGAGGAAAATCAGAATTTCATGTAGTTTCGTTTTGTTTTTCTACTCTAAACCATGCTATAGACAGGATAAACCAATACTTTTTACTTTTTCTTTTTTGTTATAATTCTCTGGCCCCAAAGAAATTCATGTTGAGTGTGAAAAGTCATCTCATAAAGGACTACATAGTTGGAAAAAAGTGCCTCAAAATGAGACAATGTAATGGAGAAGATGAAGCAGAGAAGATCAACAGCCTTTGAGGGGGCAAAAGTCATTTAAGGCCCTTGAGGGCTATAGGCAAAGATGGATACTGAAGAAATATAAACAATGCTTTCGCTCAAATGCTAGAGTCTCATAGTATCTCTCACTGTCTCTTTCAAGGTCACCAAGGCTGGGAAAAAAAAGAACACCCACTGAGCATTCAAGCCCAAAAGATGAAGTAAAAAATGGCTACCCACAAGGTCAATCAAATACTTTTAACAGTGGCGCTTTTAAAGTAGAGACACAAAGCAACTGGGAATAAACAGCGGCTTTTGCAGCACATCCAAGCATTTAATAGTTTTGTTTTCTAATTTGTAATTATGTATTTTCACTTTCAAAATTTCTCTTTTTGTTTTTTGTTTTAAATATTTTATTTTAAAATTAATTTAATTTTATATATCAGCCACAAATTCCCCTGTCCTCCCTCCACCCATCCCCAAGTCTTCCCCCTGAATCCACCTCCCATTCCCACTTCCTCTAAGGCAAGGTTTCCTCTGGGGAGTCAGCTCAGCCTGGTAGATTCAGTTGATGCAGGTCCAGTCCCCTCCTCCCTACACCAAGGCTGAGCAAAGTGTCTCAGAATAGGCCCTAGGTTCCAAAAAGCCAGCTCATGCACCAAGGACAGGTCCTGGTCCCACTGCCTGGGGGCCTCCTAAATAGTTCAAGCTAATCAACTTATCCAGAAGACCTGGTCCATTTCCATTGGAGATCCTCAGCTATTGGTTCACAGTTCAACTAGTGTTTCCACTAGTTTGGCTATTTGTCCCGGTGCTTTTTCCACTCATGGTCTCAGTATCTCTTGCTCACATAATCCCTCCTCTCTCTTGCCTATTGGACTCCTGGAGCTCCACCTGGGGCTTGCCTGTGGATCTCTGCATCTGCTTCCATCAGTCACTGGATAAGAGTTCTATCATGACAGTTAGGGTGTTCAGCCATCCAATCACCAGAGTAGATCAGCTCTGACTTTCTCTCGACCATTGCCAGTAGTCTATCATGCAGGTATCTTTTTGGATTTCTGGGGACCTCTCTAGCACTCTGTTTCTTATTCCCATGGGGTCTTCATTTATCATGGTATCTTTTTCCTTGTTTTCCAACTCTGTTCCTGATCCAGCTGCGACCTCCCATTCCCCTAAGCTCTCTTTCCCCTGGCCCTTGCCCTCCATTACACCTGGCCCCCAATGTCCAGTTTGCTCATGTAGATCTCATCCATTTCTCCATTGTTGGGTGATCCCTGTGTCTTTCTTAGGGTCCTCTTTACTAGGTAGCCTCCCTGGAGTTGTAAGTTGCAGTGAACAAGACATTCCCAGACAAAGCCAGATTTAAATAATACTTATCCACAAACCCATCCCTATAGGAAGCACTAGAAGGAAAATTCCAACCTAAGGAAGTCAGATACACCCTCAAAAACACAGGCAACAGATAAAGCCACAGAAATAAACCCCAAAGAAGAGAAGTATACACACACTACCACCAAAAAATAACAGGAATGAACAATCACTGGTCTTTAATATCCCTTAATATCAATAGAGTTAATTCACCTATAAAAAGACATAGGCTTACAGAATGGATACAAAAGCAGGACCCATCTTTCTGCTGCATACAAGAAACACATCTCAAATTCAAAGATAGACACCACCTAAGAATAAAAGGCTGGGAAAAGACTTTCCAATCAAACGGCCATAAGAAGCAAGCAGGTGTAGTCATCCTAATATCCAGCAAAATAGACTTCAAACGAAAATCAATCAAAAGAGATCAAGAAGGGCATTACATACTCATCACAGGAAAGATCCCCCAAGATGAAGTTTTAATTCTGAACATTTATGCCCCAAACACAAGGACACACACATATGTAAAAGAAACATTACTAAAGATTAAACCACGTATAAGACCCCACATATTAATAGTGGGAGACCTCAACACCCCACTTTCACCACTGGACAGATCTCCCAAATCGAAACTTAACAGAGAAATAAAGGACTTAACTGATGTCATGACTCAAATGGACTTAATCCATATCTACAGAACATTCCATCCTAACAAAAAAGAATATACCTTCTTCTCAGCACCCCACAGAACCTTGTCTAAAATCAACCACATACTTGGCCACAAAGCAAATCTCAACAGATACAAAACAATTG